CCATCTCAGTCACAGCCGCCATCCAACAACCCTGGAGACGACTTCGTGAACCAATTTGATCAAGACCAGCATCATTTTTAGTTTTTTTTTAGTTTTTCATTGTATATTATGAATTTTAAAACTTATTATTGTATATTATTAGTTATTTATAAATATTTTTTTATTTATTTTTTTAATTTTTTTAAATATATATAATTTTTATTTATAATTATTTTTTTTTAATAGGAAAAAATAGTTTCGAAGTAAAATCCTCGTAAAGGTTTCGAGGTAAATTCCTCGTAAACATTCCTAGCAAACTCCTCGTAAAGTGTCTACTACGAGTTTACGAGGAAGTACTTTACTACGCCCTTACGAGGAAAGTCTACGTGGAGCTTACGAGGAAATGTTTTCCACGGCTTTACGAGGAAAACTTTCCTCGTAAATTAGCTAGGCCTTTACGAGGAAAATAGCCTTTACGATGAACGTCTTTCGACGAAACACGTTTCCACGCTATTTCCTAGTAAAGGGCCCTTTACTAGGAAATAACGAGGAAAACCCGTCCTAGTAAAGGACGTGTTTTCTTGTAGTGTTTCTAGCTAGTTAGCATCTGAAAGAGAGAAATTTTAACAGCTTTATGGTGCGTCCTAGTGATTTCTAGCTAGTTATCATCTGACCTTATCTCTTCTTCTACCGTGAAACAGACTTTGTAGTGCCTTATACAAAGCAAAACTCTCAAGCTCTTGAACAGACTGGTTCTCAGTACCTCCTTAGTGGCGGAAATTGTTCTTATACTGGTGTATAAGTTAGAAGTCAAGGAATGCACGCTTGGATGAACTTACGATACCCTTTCTCAACCTCATCAAAAGGGTTTTGTCATCTGAGTTGAACGGGCTTGGTGTGTGGAATCCATGATCCATAAGTTTATTAGCCCAGTAACGCAAACCGCTTAAATACCCCAGAACTCATGACGTAGGTGTCATTTCATTTTTTTGCGCAAACTCAAAAAAATAACTTTTCTGGGAGAAACGGAAACTGATTACATTGTAGAAACCCTAACTTTTATTCCTTGAAAAATCTCACTTCTACTTTCCCAAAGATGGCAAATGATCAAGTAATCGCAATCAACGATTCAGTTCACAACCTTCAGCTCGTGTTGCACGACAGTATCAACGATCAGAAACAGCTCTTCATGGTGGGGACATTAATATCGCGATCAGACTACGAGGACATCATCACAGAACAAACCATCGCTAAGCTCTGTGGTTATCATCTCTGCCGAGGATCCCTCCCTTTCGAGGTTTCTAAAAGAGGGAAGTATCATATATCGATCAGTGAGCATATAGTTTACTATTCATATGCGACGGGAAAGTCCTGCTTGGTGGGGTGTCTTTTTAACAGAGTGTTCTCGAAGACTTTGCAAGAGGGTCGTACATACGTACAAGTTTGATACATCAAGGCTTGATAGGGTTATGTGTTTGTTTTGTGATTCTTTGGATGTGAAAGAGGATTTAGGATTGTCTAAGACATGATTCGAGAGAATGATGTTGTGAGAGGTGGAGAGTTGGATTTAGAGCAGTGGTTGGATCCTTCTAGACTCTAGTGCTGTTTAAGGTTATGTATCTTTGAATCGAAGCAATTGTGAATCCTTAAATGGTAAATGAAATCATCTGCCAAAAGATTGGTGACTGATTTAAGCAAAATAGAAACATAGATATAAGTGATGTTTATCTGTTTTGTTTCTTTCCCATGTTACTATGTAGTTTTGTCTCTATGTGTCTTATAATATGAGTTTTGTTTTGACAGATTCTCCAAAGAAACACGAGGAACCGTCTTTTGGGGAGATTGGTTTCAGTAGCGCAGTTATTGTTTCTAATGAGTGTAGTGTTTTAAAGCTTCCACCACAGAGAAAACACACTTCTCCAATTGGGGAATCTGAGAAAGGTGATGGGGAAGTTTTGAAAGAACAAACTGCAGTTTCTCCTGTACAGAAACAATCGAGTAAGCACTAAGGAGATGTTAAGAGTATTAGGCTTTACGACCAAGATATCGCTAAGAATTTGTAGATGTATTATGTTACTTATTCTTGCTTGAAGATAGAAATGGTTTCATTTATTCCCTTAGGGAGCCTTAGATCTTGTGGTTGTTATTTATTAGGCCATTTCTGCTGCAATATACCGTTATTTTCCATGAACTCTGTTTATCTGGATGGTTAGTCTATTATGCAGTTGCAGGGTTTCGTCGTGAAATGGAAAGGGACAGAACAAATTCCGGTTTTGATGAGAAAAATTCTCTAACAGGATCCTCTTCTGCGTCTAAGACGAAGGATTTGAAGCTTCCAACACAATACAAGGAAGCTTCTCATTCATGGGGACCAGGCAAAGAGAAAACAACCGTTCTTCCAAGAAAAAAAACAAGTAAGCATTTAGGGAGCTAGAGATAGTTAATTAGTTTTACTTTCAGGATATCTCTTTTCTCTGTATGACGAAAAAGTTTCATTATTTTGTGGGTGCTTGAGATGTTGTGATGGGTTTTAGGCCATTTCTCTCTGATATTAATTTTTACTGTGCATGTTTAGGTTATTGCTAGGATCTTGAAATGGAGCAGGACGTTAAGAGTTGTATGCTTTACGAGATGGGTTTAGAGAGTTCTGCTATAATTAGCGATGAATTCAGTGTAGAATATAGTGTGTCTAAGCAGTCACCATGTTCTATGGAAAATCCTCTAAGTTTCCACGCAGAAAGTCTTTAGACGTTAGACATGAAAAATACTTTACTAGGATCATCCTTTGGTCTTAATACGAAAGGGTTGAGGAAAAAACCAGAAAATTTGGGAAAGAAGGTTATATCTGTTGAATCCCATGCTTATTCTTGTGAAGATGGTGGGCAAATACTTATAGCTGAATCCTACAAGGGACTTAATATTCATCAGGATATGCGTTCCTCATCAAGTAAAACCGTCGCTAATTCATGCCTTAAAGTTTCTGGCTCTACAAAGCTTAGTCGTCTGTTACTTGAGCCGATCAGAATGATGGCCATGGTGATCTTTTTTTGGCTAGAAGCAAAGATATCAAATCAGGTATTAATCTGGATTCTACTGATACAAAGGATGTCAATAGTGTATCACGCCTTGCACTAGCAGAAGCCTGTGCTATGACATTGTGCCAGGCTGCCAAAGCTGTTTCTTCAGGAGATTTAAATGCATTTGATGCCGGTAAGTCCACAAAATGTATTAGTTATGCTGTTATACGCTTTGGGTGTTCATACATTGTGGACTTCCGTAAGTTTTTGAATTATGCACTTTTGTCATGTTTTATATAGCTACGAATACTGGAATCGTTGTGTTACCAAGTACCCATCAACTCGAGGAAGAGGTTTCCGATGCAAAAATTGAGGAAGATATGGCTGAACAAGAATCAACTCTTCTGAAGTGGCCAAATGAGCCTGGAATGCCAGATTTTGATTTGTTCGACCCTGATCAGTCTTGGTTTGAAGGACCTACCATAGGCTTCTCTCTAACTGTAAGTCCATTGTAAGAATTTTGTACAAAGTCACGCATTAGAACTGCATGTTACTAATTGTCACTGGTCCACGAACCTTCCCCAGTTATCAACTTATGGTATAATGTGGGATTCACTGTTTAGCTGGGTATCATCGTCTTCTCTTGCATACATATATGGGAAGAATAAATCTTCTCATGAGGAATTCTTATTTGTTAACGGTAATGAGTACCCATAAAGGATTAGCGTGGGAGAAGGGATATCCTCAGAGATCAAGGAGACAATTGGTGGGTGTCTTGCAAGATCTTTACCTAAAGTCGCCTCTGATCTCATGCTTCCAATACCGATATCTGATTTGGAACTGGGACTGGTAACTCTCAAAAGTTTTGAGTCAAAATTTTTTCCGTCAAAACGTTTTCATGCCTACCTAGAAAACCTCTAGAGACACAAGTGATTTGTTTCATTATATCAAAGTAGTCCTGGTAGGAAAACTTAGTATATATGAAAACCTTGTCATCAAATTACACCTAATAATAATGGTGTAATCTCCAAAAACTTATGCTGCGAAGTTATATAAAAGTTGTCAGCTTGGTTCGAAAAAGCAAGCGTTTCTGGTGCCATGGCGCCAAGCGCCACATGGCGCGGACCTCAACGCTTAGGGACCCCATTGCCAGACGAGGTACATATATCCCTCGATTTCCTCGATTTTCCTCGTTTTTGTGATATCCCTGAAGCGCTAAAAGCGGCATTTTGTTGTACATATACAAAAAAAAAGATTTTATTCAAAATTGTACACTTAACAAAAAGGTTAAGAAATAATATTGATTGTATTAACTGGTGGATGTTAATAAGAAGCCTTCAAAATAACTTTTAATTATTTGGAACAAAAATTTCAGTATGATTTATAAAGTTGTTGGTCAGAGACGGTGAGTTATAAATGAAAAACATTTTAACTGTCCTGATTAGTGAATTTTAAATTACACTAGAATATGACATGTACCTTGCGCGGAGTAAATTTGGCGTTTAAAGATGTCATTTCACGAGGCAAATTTGGTGTTTAGGGTTGTCATTTTGGTTTAGGGTTAAGAGTATATCCTTTGGATTTAGAAATTTAGAAAATATGAAATTTTTAAGTTTTACATTAAAAGAGAATTAAAATATAAAACATTGGTATTATCAAATTTAAGATTTATAAATTATCGTTTAATATGTATACAATTTTGGGTTGTTACATAATCATCTATACAATGGGGCGGGAAGAATTGAAATCGGAATTATCGATTAAATGATAGACTTTCTGATGACCCGATACATTTGTATATTTTCTTTTAGTAACTCATGGGTAAATTAGATTTTATATGATCGATTTTTTACTTACAAAAATCTTCTGAATTACACATTCCTTTTACTAAGTCATGGGTGAATATGAATGAATTAAACTGATTCACCAGATCTGTAATGACAGAAATGTTCGTATTAACACCCTACAAAAAATAGTTAAAACTTACATAATAAAATAATGCAAAAGTTTATATAATTTACTAAGAGACGATTAAAGGCATAAAGATTTACATTAGAGCTGATTAAAACCATGTCAATTGTTAGGCCACCAGTAGCACTGCTTCCACAAACATATAATCTTCACCCTAATCTTCTACATTGACTTAAATATTTCAGACATTATGTTTCAAAATAGTTCTAATATTTCGGGTTTAAAGAATGAATATCACTACAAGAAAACTAAGAGTTTACTAGGAAATTTTACTAGGAAAATAATTCCTCGTAAATTTACTACGAGATTACTTCGGTTTTAAGAGGAAAACAAGTATCCTCGTAAAGTCCTCGTACACGTACGAGAAAAATGTTTCCTCGTAAGATCGTAGTAAAATTACAAGGAAACTACGTGGCAAAAGACCATTTCCTCGTAATCTCGTAGTAAATACTTTCCTCGTAAAGTCCTAGTACAAAGTTACTACGAAATTAGGAGGAAATGATCTTTTACTTCAAATTAGCGAGGAACTTGATAGAAATTATCTAATTTAGATCTAAAACGTGTTTTGTACCTACCTTTCCTAGCAATTTCCTAGTAAATCCTCAGATTCAAAAATTTCTATAAGTACCCCCATTTGTGATTCATTTGAAACACACAAAAAAAAATCAGCTTTAATCTTGATCAAAGACAAAAAAAATGTCCGGTCCGGGAAATATTTCCGAGTTGCGGAAGTGGATGTATTTACACAGAGATAATAACGGGAGAGTGACGAAAGAAATTCTAAATGTATTAGGCCCTCGTGAAATGTTTAGAAGCATTTAATAAATAGAGGTTTCATGCCATATTATTATATTTGGTATCAACATGGAGAAGATGATAGTTGTAGGAATGAAGGTAGCAGTAGTAATAGCAATTTTCAGGTTGAACCGGTTGATCATTTGCGTAATGAAAATAGCTATCATCACCAAGAAGAACAAATGGTAGATTGTGATAGGGTTCATGATATGGTAGGTGATTCCTTTGTAACTCATGATGATGATGAAGTTGAAGAACCTAACTTAGATGCAAAAAGTTTTATGAAATGTTAGAAGCTGCGAATGAGCCAATTTACAAGGGTTGTAGAGAAGGTTTGTCTAAATTGTCGTTGGCTGCTAGAATGATGAGTATTAAAACCGATCACAATCTACCTGAAAATTGAATGGATGCATGGGCAGACTTGTTTAAAGAGTATTTGCCAGAAGACAATGTGTCTGCTGAATCTTATTATCAGATTCAGAAATTGGTATATAGTCTTGGGTTGCCCTCGGAGATGATAAACGTTTGCATCGACAACTGCATGATTTACTGGGGAGATGATGAGAAGTTAGAAGGATGTCTATTTTGTAAGAAGCCAAGATTCAAACCGCAAGGTCGAGGGCGTAATAGGGTACCGTAACAAAGGATGTGGTACCTACCAATCACAGACAGATTGAAAAGATTGTACCAATCTGAGGAGACTGCTGGAGGGATGAGATGGCACGCCGAGCATACACAGACGGATGGAGAGATGACTCATCCATCAGATGCAAGAGTCTGGAAACATTTTAACAATGTACATCCACATTTCGCTAGCAATAGCCGCAATGTGTATCTTGGATTATGCACTGATGGATTTAGTCCATTTGGAATGTCTGGGAGACAATATTCATTATGGCCGGTCTTTCTTACACCGTATAACCTGCCACCGGAGATGTGCATGCGACGAGAGTTTCTATTCTTGACCATATTAATACCTGGTCCAAAGCATCCAAAAAGATCTCTCGACGTTTTTCTTCAACCACTGATAAAAGAGTTGAAAGATTTTTGGTCAACAGGGGTGAGGACATATGATTGTTCAACGAAAACAAATTTTACGATGCGAACGATGCTTTTGTGGACCATAAGTGACTTTCCTGCATATGGATGTTGTCTGGGTGGACTACACATGGGAGATTAGCTTGTCCATATTGTAATGGAATGACAGATGCGTTTCAGTTGAAGCATGGTAGGAAGACTAGTTGGTTCGATTGTCACCGTCGATTTCTTTCCGTTTACCACCCATACCAAAGAAATAAGACATTTTTCAGGCAGAAAAGGGTTGTCAGAGACACTCCTCCTCCATATTTAACTAGAGAACAAATCGAAGTGAAAATCGATTACTACGGTGCTCTAGAAACAGCTCCTCGTGGTGGGAATTGACATGTTCCCAGTAATATGCCTGATTCTTATGGTGTTCAACACAATTGGCACAAAAAGAGTATATTTTGGGGATTGCCATATTGGAAAGATCTTCTTTTGCGCCACAACCTCGATGTGATGCATATAGAGAAGAACGTTTTTGAGAACATCGTGAACACTATATTGAATGTCCCAAGGAAGAAGAAAGACAACGTAAAATCGAGGTTGGACTTACCCGATATCTGCTCAAGGAGTGAGCTACATATAAAAAGCAATGGGCAAGTTCCAGTTCCGATATTCAGACTCTCATCAGAAAAAAAGTCTGCGTTGTTCAACTGGGTGGCTTCAGAAGTGAAGTTCCCTGATGGGTATTGTTGGAGAGGAATTGAACATTCCCCCACAAGGCCCATCGAATAACAGGCTTCAGCCCACTTGTTGACGGTTCGATCGAAATAGGAAATAAACCCGAAGGTCGAACGACCGGTTTGCCTCAATAACCGGTCGACCGTCGAATTGAATCCGGTTTTACGATTATCGCAGGCCCAAAGCCCATCAAGCATGGAACCGACTCACGGGCCTCTCAAACGACCTTTAGGGCGAACGAGACGTGAGATGGGCACGAAAGTATAAAAGGACAACAGAGGGCAAAGAGAAAAGGATCCGCAAATTACTACAAGAACTCTGACGGCAAGGTTTAGGGTTTTACGATCAATCGAACCTCCTTGTAATCTGATCGGACTTTCATAAAGCTCCGACCTTTGTTCTTTTCTCGAATCTTTCTGTAATCTCCTTTTGATATCAACTCTGATTAATAAAACG